CCAGTTCTCAGCTTTCTCAGCTTCCAGCTCCACAGATTGCTCCGCGTCCGTGTGCTGCAAAGTCGCCAGTTCTCATCTTCCAGCCCCCCCAGATACTCCGCGTACTAAAGTTCAGATACTCCGCGCACTAAAGTTGTACTACAAAGTCGCCTTCCAGCTCCACAGATGCTGTGCCTGCCACGAAATCTGCACATGGAGGTTCACAAAGGGCTGTGCCTGCCACGAAATCTGCACCTCGAGGTTCACAAAGCGCTGTGCCTGCCACGAAATCTGCACGTGGAGGTTCACTAAGTGCTGTGCCTGCCACGAAATCTGCACATGGAGGTTCACAAAGTGCTGCGCCTGCCTCGAAATCTGCACATGGAGGTTCACAAAGTGCTGTGCCTGCCACGAAATCTGCGCCTCGAGGTTCACAAAGTGCTGCGCCTGCCACGAATTCTGCACATGGAGGTTCAGAAAGTGAAGTGCGGCGGCTACCACGAAATCTGCACATGGAGGTTCACAAAGTGCTGCGCCTGCCACGAAATCTGCGCTTCAAGAAACAAGTGAAACTCCAATTGGTGGCTTCTTAGCTGGTGGTGGTGGAGCACAATTGGTGGCTTCTTGGAGGTGCCTTGGATGACTTTGCTGAGGCATCAGCTCCAGTGCCATCATCACCAGCTTTGCCATCAGCAGCTGGCGCGGCTGCAGGCGCACTGGATGGCTTTACTGCAGCTGGTGCAGCGGCAGGCGCACAGCGGCGGAGCCCCAGCGACGCCAGGGCGACACCGGGCGACGCCAGGGCGTTCATCCAACCAACGGGAGAACACCAAAGTGCTGCGCCTGCCACGCACATCACAGCGGCGCAGCGGCATTGGTGGGTAGCAATTGGTTGGTGGCAATTGGTTGGTGGAAGTTTGTTGGTGACAATTGGTGGGTAGCAATTGCTTGGTGACAATTAGTGGGTAGCAATTGGTTGGTGGAAGTTTGTTGGCGGCAATTGGTTGGTAGCAATTGGTCGATGACAATTGGTAGGTAGGTAGGTGGCAATTGGTTGGTGACAATTGGTGGGAGGCGCTTGGTTGGTGACAATTGGTTGGTGACAATCGGTTGATGACAATTGGTTGATAGCAATTGGTGGGTGGCAATTGGTTGGTGACGATTGTTGGTAGCAATTGGTGGGTGGCAATTGGTTGGTGACAATTGGTGGGTGGCAATTGATGGGTGGCAATTGGTTGGTGGCAATTCGTTGGCGGCAAGCGGGAGGCGGGAGGAGGAGGAGGAAGGAGGAGCGGATACCACACAAAAAACAAAAACCCCACACGTCAATGTGGGGAAAAACAAATGGTTGTTTCTAATAAGACTAACCCTGCCTTGCACATCTGGCTAACATGCTCATAAATAACCCTGATCACTTTACAAATCAGGAACACCCAGGACAGGGGCTCTATAGAAAACCAATATTTTCTCTACAAAACGGTTGTTTCCAATACCAGGGTTGACCCAATTTGTAAAGGAAATTTAACAGGGGATTTGAGAACTATGAAAACGATGAGACTGAAGGAGTTGAATGTCCACTCCAACGCATCAGCGCCCGCCATGGCCTTGATCGATGGCGGCACTACCTTCGGCCAGTTCAAGTCGAGTTCGCTGCTAGGAGCGCTACGCTGCATAACTCTTTCCAACGCGCCGGGCGAGATTTAGCTTAAATTGGGAAGGGCCAGACGCACCTGATACTATACCTGGGAACCGATGTCGCGTGCTTAAAACACCTTTCATGGGCGGGTTTGGTGGTGCGTCTGTATAGTGGCAAGCGCTCCAAGGACTGGATGGCCAGCGAGTGGACGTTGTGCGCAGTTTGATGTGCGCGCTGTGGGCTCGGCGTGCCGCCGTGTCGGACTGTGTCTCACCCACCCCGCCAAGGACCTTGCCCAATCATGGGAAGAGACAGCCGACGAATCATGCTGGAAGGTTTATCTTCTGCTGGGCATGAACCAACTATGAGCGATCAGTGAGCACAGTGCTTTCCCCCAAATTTGATCACGTTGGGCAATTGAAGTCTGGTAGGATGGCGACGAAACAGCTCCAAAAGAAAGGTGCGCCACGACAGCCCTGTCCAACTTCTCTATATGTAAGAACTTCTTGTTCTTGCCCTTTCCATTGGACAACATAAGAAGCGCGCGTACGCCAAGTCATCAAAAGATGAATCAAGTGCGTAGGATGTTCCAGGAGAGTCAGGGCCGAGATGTTCTCTGGGCATAGCATCAAAAGCATCAGTGAGACAGTGGGATCCAAGAACAGTTGGCGGGTGGAATGTGATGAAGCCCCCTCACTTTGGAAGCATCATTGCGTCAGTGGTGGGCCAAGGCTTGTACCTCACGCGCGTGTTGGGTCAGTCTGTTGATGGCATTCCAAGTGCCACGTCCAGGAAGGTATGGACATTGAGGGTATTGGATCAGGCGGTCCATGCAAAGACTGCGCGCGTAGGTGACAAACAACCGCATCATGGCTTTGGAGATAGGTGTTTGCAAGGCAATGGGTCGAAGTCTGCTTGGATCAGTGGCACGCTTGTTGGGTTTGGGAAGCAAAACGCCCAACCTTTCCTCCATTCCAAGGTATTGCGCAGTTTTGGATCCAGAGGTGGAGCCAGCTTCCAAGAAGAAGGCCAAGATCTACTGCCAGAGCTTGCCAAACCGGCCCTGGAGCGATATGTGGTGGAACACTCTTCTTGGTGGGGATGTGTTGCAGTTCGTGAATGATGTGAGCAAAGGAAGTGTGGAGTTGGTGAGTGTAAAGGTGGGAACTTCAAGATCGTCTCCTGGATAGGTATGTAGCAGGTGTTGCTGTATCCATTGAAGTTCGACGCCTGGTGCCTTCATGAGGACGGAGAGCTGGCCTGTGATTAAACGAGCCTGGCGTTTCCAGCCTTGAAGTCGAGCTGTTAGCGCCAGGAGTAAAAGACGCCCTGCAGCGTAGTGGATGAAGCGCCTGGACAAGTGGGTGATGTCACCCAGGACCAGTTGGGTGGGGTGTCCTTCCTTCATTTGTGGATCTTTCAGAGCCTGGGGTTGAAAATCTCGACAGGCCTTCATGAGAAGATGGTTGAGTCGAGGAGGGTCTGGTTCATCAGGATGAATTGGTCTGGACCTTAGTGAGCCAGTGTTGCCAAGAAGTGCTTGTGGCCTCGCTGCGAGAGTCGTTCTCGTTGATTTTTGGTTAGTAGGTTTGTGGCTGAGGTTGTCCATCGTCTCCACTGATAGGGGATCGTAGCAAGCAAGGGGATGTGATCGGTTGCATTCCAAAGTTGGAATGTAAATCCAAGAGGTACGCAGGATGACGTGTGTCCCGACGATGTTTGACCAGTATGAAGTCGAGGAGCTTGCTCCTCTAGGGCCCTGATATCTGGCCGGAAATTTGGTGTCCCACGTGTTGATGGCCTCCAATCCATGCTGTTGGAGAAGATCCTCAAAGGTCTTCTTGTCCTTGTAGGAGGGCCTGAAAGTCAGGGAGTCCAACACAGCTGATGACAAGCTGTCCAGGAGGTCTTCCATTTGTGCCAGGTTGTCCGTGTCCTGATCATGCGACAGATATCGGTAAGCATTGCCAATGTCGATGTTCGTGGTTTGAAGATAGAGACGAACATGCATCAGTCTGCTTGAAATGATGGGCCTCCACGCTAATCTGTCTGACGAATAGTAGCTTTTGTTGATAATGGTGAGCAGGCCTCCGGAAGGTCCTGTGGCTGCAGTGTGCACGTACAGCTAGGAAGCTGTCGTCTTGCCAGTCTCCATCGAAGGTTGCCGCTCTTGGTAGAACAGTTCAGGTAGTTCAAGTACTCCCAAAAGATCAGGAGGACAAAGGACAAGGCCTCAATGAGGTCAAGGATGTAGTGCCGGCAAGTGCAACCGCCGAGCTCGTGGAAGAAGTGATCACAATCTCTGTGTGCTGGAGGAAGGCGGGTAATGTTCCTGTAATCGAAGGTGATCTCGTTCAGTACGATGATCTTTTGGTTGCCCATGGCAGGTGGAAGACGCTCCTCCTCCTCCCCATCATCATCAGCTTTACCTTGTGCCATCTCCTACTCGCGACCCTGTCGTCAATTTTTCAGAAAAGCTTTAATGGAGCCTTTGCTAAAGCCTCGGGCCCCGACCATGGGCTCTGTTGATTGCTTTCCCGGGTCTGCGGAATGCGCTTGGCCAGCAGTCCAGGTGGACAGCATGAGGGGCTGGCCTCAAAAGCTGTGATGATGACCTCTGACTGAAAGCAGGCATGATTTTCTGTGCTCAGCTGGCGACCCACAAGCAAGGATTTCTCCTTGTTGGGCACCTCCGACGACAAACCAGTGCCCCAGTGGACCAAGTTGATTGAATACAGAATACATCATGAACACTGAAAACAAACAATGGCACACGACATCAACCGAATACCAACCCAGGTTGTTATGACAGCTCAGGAAGTCAAAGAAGTCAATTTCATACAGCCTCCCAAAATAACCAGTTTTCGAGAGGCTTTGGGGTTGGCAGACTTTGTCTGAGAATCCTAGCGCGGGCAAATCATTCGGAGCGCCTGAGTGGAGATCTGAGTCTTTAGCTCAAGCCTGCAACGCGCGTCATTGAGCAAACGAGTGTCAAACAGAACGCCCATACGACGCGATTGGAGAAAACAGCTCAAACCAAACCCTGCACTGGCAACAACATGTTGGCAATCAAAACAAACAAAGAGTCGAAGAGTGTCCTTTAGGGCCCCCGCAATTTTTCTTTCAAATGCTGCCTCCTCTCCTCCAGGTTGGAGCTTGCGAGCGCTTGCCTCGCGCACCGCCGCCGTCGTCACTCGTTCTTTATGTCTTTGTGCAAAATTTGCCCTCATAACCCTCTCCACATCTAAGCGACAGCACTGCGATGGCAAACTGCCCACCTTTGCAGGCAAACAGGCAGCGCTGAAGTTGACCATGTTGAAGCAAGTACTTCAACGCTCAGCATGGCCGCACTGCAAAACCAAGATCAGACCGCAACAAACCAATCCGGCTAACCTGACTGCGGGAACACCAGCCTGCAAATCTTCGCGGCCCTTGGCAGAGGCCTGGCAACGCAGCAAGACGCGCTGCAACAAAGACCCTTGCCCAAAGCCTTGCGCCGTTTCTTCCGCTGGCGACCATCTGGACCTTTAGCTGCATCCTCCAAGCGAAGCTGTGAGAGGCAAGGAAAGTGCAACTCCAACGAGGCTGCAGCCATCAACTTTGTACCGCAACAAAGACTTGCAAATCGCCAAGGCAGGCACATGCTTCTAGCCGCGCACTTTCAAAGCCAACAAAGAGATGTGTTCAAAGCCCGGGCAAATTAAAAAGTGCGACCCCGTTTCGGGCTCCTGCAGGTTGGTGGGCAAATGGTCGGAGGACATTTTGTGTTTGCAGATCGGTGGGATAAGGTTGGTGACAGGTTTTTTGGACCTTGCAATTGCAACAGGATAGGGATAGGCATGGATAGGCGGATAGGCAGTTGATTTTTTCACTTCCATGTGTCAATGGTGAAGCAAACTTCTGGTTGAGTTCCAGGCAGACTGGAAGAGAAGAAACACATAAAATACAAGCGGCGCGCAACAAAGAAAGAGAGACAAGCATACGATAAAGACAAGCAGCAAAGTGAAGAAGGAAAACCTAAGAAAGAGGCAAATGAAAGCCAGCAGCTCCCAACATTGTCAGTCTTTAACACTCTGAGATGTTCTTCGAACTATACCCGCAAGCTATACTTTGGTCCAGCTCAACTTGGTCCAGTGTCTGTCGCGAAGCAATCTGACAAAGAAATTGATTGCAACCAACAGCAGGTGAAAGATGCTCTGGCCGCTGCAGCGCGCCACGGTAGCTATGACGGTGGCGCGCAAGAGATTTTGGGAAGAAACTGGCTCGACCACAAATGAACCATGCTGGGCACTACTTGCGCAGTTCCTTCAGAACATGATGTCTCTTTTTTTCTTGTTCCGTGTTGCTTTTGCAATGTTTCGACAGCTGAGCGCAATCGATACATGCCCAGCAATAGCAACACCCTTCGAACCAAAAGGATGGCTCCAAATGACTACAGCAAATCGAGGCGTGAAGACGCAGCGAGGCAATCGAAGAAAATGCGTGCTTTTGGAAAGGCGATGGAACATCCATAAAAATAGTCTAAATTTGAATGCGCCATGTATCTGCAACTGCGGACCTTTACTCCTAGCTTGCTTTTCCTGCAGCATCTCGCAGGAGCAAGTAAATAAACAAGTGTTTTTGGAGTGCATGTGATATGCCATTTGCCAAACACTGTCTTCACCACGCCACAAATCACAACCTTACACATCATCACATTCAAATCACCACATCACCGGAGATGACATCACCACAGCAAACTTCACCACTCATAACTTTGTCGCAACTAGTCACACACGTCAAACCAAAACCGCACAAATCTTCCTGGTTTATTCTCTGTCTTTCTCATTGTTAAGCTTTGACACTTTGACCTTCTTGCACCGCCAGAGGCTGCTGGTGGTAGAAACACTATAGGGTGGCGGCGGCGGCGGCGGCGGTGGCGGCAGCAGCGAACATGTTGCAAAATATACTGTATGCTTCACAGTTCACAGTGACATCCGTATACCGCTTGTGGATGCTGCGTAGTGTGGGTTTCATTGGACGGTGGATTGGCAAGGTGGCGTGTGGGTGGTGGCTCGCGTAAAGCTCGCAAACAAAATGTACAAAATGAAAGGGTAGGAACTTGTAGCATTTTCTAAGAAAAAACAGCAAAAACACCCTAGAGCATGCCTGCCCACCCTAAGTTCGTCAGAAAATGAACTTTTCGTTCTATAGTGCAATGATTGGTCGCTGCAAAAAGGTCAAGCGAAGGGTGGGCACCATCATCCTATACAGAGGTCAGCTTCTGCTGCTCTTTGATTACAGCAGGCTCAAAGAGTCTTCATACTATTTCAGAAACTTTGCTATCCCCTCGCACGCCACAATGCCACGCAAAAAATTGATAGAATGAATGATATTAGAAAGAGCACGCTCTAAAAATGATGGGCCCCAAAGTTCTCCAGAAAATATATACAGTAAGTTTGCTTTGCCAGGCCGACCCCGACGAAGTCTTTCCTGCCCAGGACAGCAAAGCCCTGAATCAGACCAGGTGGGCCCGCGGTTTGCGCGAAAGGAAATGGAGAGGTGCGAGGAAAGTAGTTCAGCAAGGAAGAGTCGGAATGCTTGAAGCAAGCGCCATGCCCTGTGAAGCAAGAAGGATCAACAACTTGAGGTAGGGCTGTGGCACTGTCCCGAGCATGCTTGCCCAAATGCCTGCCGCAAAGAAATAGGAAAGGAAGGAAAACAATAGGAAGCGGTCTGCGCTTATTTGACTTTTCCAGAGTTTTCTAGGTGTGGAGCTGTGGAGGCATATCATCATTTTGCAGTAAGTTGTGCTGTTGCGTGGTTTTCCCTGGCGCTCCTTGCCTGGCAGGCTTCTAAGCAAACTCTAAACTCCAAGTGTATCTTCATTACAGTAAACTTGTGGCCCAGAGCGGGGTGGCGAAAGCTAGGCAAAGAAACAACGCTGGGGCTCTTTGGCAGGAAAAGCCTGGCCGGGAATCGAACATGCCATGGCCAAAGGAAAAGGAGATTGCCAACAGCGCCCCCCCAATACGACCCCAACACAGCCAACACATGGCAACACACAACCACCCCAGCAACGGCAGCAGCAGCAGCAGCAGCTACCAAGCAGCAGCAGCAGCATCATCAGCAGCAGCCACCAAGCAGCAGCAGCTACCAAGCAGCAGCAGCAGCAGAAGCAGCAGCTACCAAGCAGCAGCAGCAGCAGCAGCAGCAGCTACCAAGCAGCAGCAGCAGCAGCAGCAGCAGCTACCAAGCAGCAGCAGCAGAAGCAGCAGCAGCAGCAGCAGAAGCAGCTACCAAGCAGCAGCAGCATCAACAGCAGCTAGCAAGCAGCAGCAGCAGCAGCACCTGCAGCAGCTACCAAGCAGCAGCAGCAACAGCTACCATGCTGCTGCAGCAGAGCAGCTGCCACCAAGCAGCAGCAGCTACCAAGCAGCAGCAAGCAGCCAGCAGCAAGCAGCAGCAAGCAGCAGCAGCAAGCAGCCAGCAGCAGCAAGCAGCAGCAGCAGGTACAGTACCAAGCAAAAGCAGCAGCAGCAGCAGCAGCAGCAGCAGCAGCAGCAGCAGCTACCAAGCAGCAGCAGCTACCAAGCAGCAGCTGCAGAAGCAGCAGCTACCAAGCAGCAGCGGCAGCACCAGCAGCAGCAGGAGCAACTACCAAGCAGCAGCAGCAGCAGCAGCAGCAGCACCAAGCAGCAGCAGCCACGCAGCAGCAGCAGCAGCAGCCACCAACCAGTAGCAGCAGCGGCAGCAGCTACCAAGCAGCAGCAGGAGCAGCTACCAAGCAGCAGCAGCAGTAGCAGCAGCAGCAGCGGCAGCAGCTACAGCAGCAGCAGCTACCAAGCAGCAGCAGGAGCAGCTACCAAGCAGCAGCTACCAAGCAGCAGCAGCTACGAAGCTACCAAGCAGCAGCAGCTACCAAGCTACCAAGCAGCAGCAACTACCAAGCTACCAAGCAGCAGCAGCTACCAAGCAGCAGCAGCAGCTACCAAGCAGAAGCAGCAGCTACCAAGCAGCAGCAGCCGCAGCAGGAGCAACTACCAAGCAGCAGCAGCAGCAGCAGCAGGAGCAACTACCAAGCAGCAGCAGCAGCAGCAGCAGCAGCAAACCACCAAGCAGCAGCAGCAGTAGTAGCAAACCACCAAGCAACAGCAGCAACAGCAGCAAAAGAGCAGCAACTAAGACACATACAAACAGGAGCAGCAGCAGCAGCGACAAAGAACAGCAACAGCACGTTGGGAACTGAGAACCGGTCCGGGGGTGAAGGGTGGAGTTCAACCCGCGCGGGGCGAAGGGGAGGAGGAGAGGAGAGGGGAGGCGAGGAGAGGAGAGGAGAGGGGAGGGGAGGGGAGGGGAGGGGAGGGGAGGGGGGGGGCTAACCCTGATATATCAGGCGTTAGCACTCAGGTCCTGGGTTCCCACCTCCTTGCTAAAGCAAGACAGACTCCAGCTAGCTACAGCTAGCTTTCGTGATGATGCACGCTTCATTCTCAGAAAAATGCACCCATTATCGACAATATTGAAAATTCTCACAGCTAGCCAAATCTTCCTTCTACAACATGACAACAGTTACACGCATTATTTCAACATTCCCGAGAAACCGACAATTGATTGCCTTGCTACAAAAGGCCCAACCTCTCCCTGGGACCCCTATTATATATCAAATCTAGTTTTATCATTCTGCAGTGGATATTCCCACAGGGATGACATTTCTGGAAGCAAAAAATTAGACAAGTTGAACTTTTCACTGGTATGACTATCAGCTTGGTGGCCTCCGAACAGAATGGGAATGAAAGGTGATCATGTTGGAGCTGCGCACAGAACTCACAAGAACAAGGCATGAAATTCTGTACTTCCTGCAAATTGATAGCGACGTTTCTGATGTTGTAATGTGTTTTCATGCATCTTGCCGTGAACACATTGAAACACACAGTAATTATTGGGAATCGGCTACGGTTAAGGGATCGCAATACAGCTACTCTCTCTCCCTCTCTCTCTTTCCCTCTCTCTCTCTCTTTCTTTCCCTACACATGAAGAGCTTGCTTTGCCAGATCCACATGCCTGTCACAGCCTCACAGCATTGATTCTATAATTCTATAAAATTCAAAACCAGATTTGTGCAAACGTTTGCGTGTTGCAGCGCCCTACCCGTGCTGTACAGTGCTTATCAAGGGGTTCACAAGGCACGCCACGAAAAGGCCACCCAGAACAAACAAAAGCCACGTTGTCGAAGGCCCCCAAAACTGTACAACCAATACCCTCTCTATACAATGTAATCTTCTATAGAGTCAAATGACTGGCATTGTACAGCGTGCCTTTCACGGGGGCTACTATTCTTCTCCAAGAGCAGAGCTTAGGGGTCTTCCGAGCAGATCCGGGCAGGTACCGTTGCAGGTTCCAAAGCCAGTTCCGCAAGAGGTTCTGGAGCAAGTTCCGGAGCAGTTAACGGAGAGGAAGGTTCCAGAGCAAGTTGCAGAGGAGGGGGGGGAGGAGGCAAATGTCTTGCCACGCCGAAACGGCGACATGATTCGAGTTGTCACGCCGATCTGCTTGTGCGGTGTCACATGTTATGCGGTCTTGCTGGCATGGGTCACGGTACGTTGTCACGGTGAGATGCTGCAGGTTTGCCGGTTCTTGCATGTACTGGCGTTGTCGCGCTTGTACATATGTGGCGATGTGTTGCCATGTTGCTGTGCTCGTGTGGCACATTGAAAAATAGAGAAAATTCACTCTTCTGAAGATACCATTGCTTGACAAAAACACGACACTTGTCGTTGAACTTGCGATGGTTATTTGCCTAGTAGGCGGATTTTGATGCCCAGCTATTGGAAATTTTCCGTGGGCCCGGGCCCATTCAATTTCTTTTTGCAAGTTTCAACCGTAACGCGGCAAAATCGTGGAATCCTGAACGCTGCCGGCTTCTCCCTGGAGGCCTTCTCGCCTCACGCGCTGCAGCGTGGAGGCGCATTGGCACAAAATGACGCTGCCTGTTGCCCTGGCTGCCCTGGCTTGTGGGAAGGACGTGTGGCCTCAGCAGTTGCACAGCGCCAAAGTTATCTGCGCGCTCGAGTGTTGAGCTTTAAACTGGTCTTCAGCGCTAAACTCCGCAGCCTCGCAACGCTTTCTTGCAAAAATCACGCCCAAAAGCAGCGATTGAAAAACGAAACAGAAGCCAAGACGCATTGCTCCCTCGCGGCCTCGCGGCCTCAAGCTACAGGACAAACGCACAAGCAGACCACGCAACCGTTGCAAACTAGCAAACCGCTTAATCCTTTAAGGCAGGAACCGGTTTGGGTTTCAAAGCAGCAGTGGTGCTCCTGAAAGACCGACAAACTGAACCAATTATATCCAGCTATTATATAGACTCTAGACGTTGTATTGTTTGGTTGGTTTCCAGACTTGCAGCCTCAGCTTGTGCCCGTTCTCTTCTTCTGCTGTGTCGCCTGCCTGACTAAAGTTGCCTGCCGTCCGCCTTTCTTGATACAGCTAGCCCTCAACAAAGACCTGGAACAACTTTACGCCGCTTGTCTGGGCTCTGGCCTGTGCGCATGGTTTGCGCGATCTGCGTGCCCAGCAGATTCGTTGACGCCTGAACAAATTGAGGCCCCTACTGGAAAACATGCGACACAACCCACATTTTGGAATTTGCAGCTCGCAAGCTCAGAAGCTAGCAAAAAAACAAGTTGCGAGAACAGTGGTGCCTGCTATGTTTTCACCGGAAGTCGCCCTCGGCAAGGCAGGTGGGAAAGCCTCCGGCGCAAAAACTTTGCCAGTTTGGGCGGCCACCATTCTCTACTGGGGTGGGGGTTTCCAACGACACTCCAGCTGTGCTCCCATTGACGCGCGCGAATACAATACACAATACGTATCTTATCACGCAATTTTGTTATGCGTCCTTGAAAGACACTTGTCGGCCTAACGCCGTAGAGCTCTGGCAACCACCCTCGCGCCCTTTCTCAGCTCGGGCACGAATCAAAAGGTGCCATGGTGTCCCACGCCGTCACCCGTACTTGGGCCTAATGCCACATGACATGTCAGTCGAAGCAACCAGACGTGAGAAACACATCCATCAAAATCTCTGTTGCTTCGACCTGGCAAACTTCCACTGTCATGGCGAGCGAGGTCCATATGGCCTTCGGCTCATCGGCTTCGGTTTTGCTTGTGGTTCCCCCCATGTTCATGGGAACCACGGGAACCGACCTTCATCGTCCGTGGCCATGTTAAAGTGTTCTGTAAGGCCGCTCAATTCCACGACAAGCTCCGGTTCTGCGGCGAATCTTGTTCGCGCGTCGTTTTGCAGGAAATTTTTCTTCCACGCTGGATATTGAGCAAGCTTCCGTCCCCTTCATGGCGCTGCTCAGCAATCGCAGCCAGGAATGCTTCATCCTGCGGCGTCAGGGCCTGAGTTGGGGCACTCTGCTCTGCCGGTCTCCTTTTCAAGAGACCAATGGTCGGCCACTCTCCAGTCCCCTTGACCGTCGGCAGAATCTCACTCTTCTTGATCATTGCCCCGTACTTATCCATCATTAAACGTGTCCTCAATGGTGTCCAAGTACAAAAATGTTCACCATATGCAGTGCTGCAGCGCGCATCGAACAACTCTGAGTGACTCAACTTTGTGAAGTTCGCTTCGTCTTTGGCACGACGGCCACCGTGTTTTCTAGAAGACACCCTGAGCGGAGAGCTTCATCATTCGGATTCCTTCCTTTCATTCTCAACGCCCTTTGATCCGCTGCAATCCTCAACATGACACTCTCATTGTTCAGAGCTCATACTGCCGTTTTCATGGCACCTCTAAGAATATCCGTTGCGTCGGCATCCTGTTTAGTGAGGGCGTCCGCCAACTGCAACCAAGTTGGTGTCCATGCGATTGATCCCCACAAGCGTTTCAATGACTCTTTCGCAGTAGCGAGGTCATTTGCCACTTGCTTGTCGCCAACACTGCCACGTAAGCGTGGAGGTGATTATAGAGGGTCTTACAATCAATTATGGCTTGGTTTTGAAATTCATGAAAGAAGTTCGACCGTCCTTCCACAACAAATGCGGCGCGATCGACTTCTGCAAGTTGGCACGCTGACCGCTCTGTGTGTCCGAGTCCGTCTGCTAGGGCCTGTCTCTCAAGCACAGGTTGAGCCTACAATTCTTTTCAATCGATATGACTTCCATACTTCTGGGATCCATTGGGCTGGTTTTCCTTCCATAAGTTCCTTCGTTGTAATCATTCTTGGCGTTTGCGAACGCAGCATCAGTGAGGACACAAAGTTTGATGTCTGCCAAAGGGATTGGATCTTCCATTTCAAATCCTTGTGTTGCTGCGCTCGACGGGTACTGACCTTGGCCGGCTTGGACTGCTAGATCTGGTTTTGTTTCGTTCACGCGTCCTCAATTTTGGCTTGACCGTAAATGGGCGGAACCCCTCAAAGAGTTGACCTGGGTCCTGATCTGGTATAGAACTTGCTTTGGTCCGGACATGCAGAGTCTCTGATCCCGTTTCAATTCCTTAGTCTCCAAAAATGCTCCGATTTGAAGCGCTGTCAATCTTCCGTTGGAGGATATAGTGGGCGATTGCGTCTTCCCGCCCCGAACAGGTGCAAATAGGTCTGGGTACTTATCGCCACGCGCTGTCCATCTTGCCTTCGCAATTTGTTCGCGCGTGTCATCCACCTTTGGAGTAAACGGTCTCTTCTCAACCGCCTGCTAAAAGCGCTGTGCCTTGCCCTTCTGTCTCGTTGCTACCGCTACCTGATTCAACTGCCAAAACCCATTCTGTTTCTTCTGTTCCAAGTTCGTTCAACGATACAAATTTTGTTTGCAAAAAGATTGTCCGTTGGAGACGAGCTTGATCGGTCTGCTGAACCGCATTCAGTCGAAATGCGATTGTCACGTTGCGCTTCGGCTGCGTTGAGGTGAGGTGGCGCAGGCTACAAATGGGTGAAGCGCAAGTCGGTGACAACTCAACTTTTCTGCGGTGGGCTCGTGGAAACCTGATCCGCTGCTTCCTGGTTAACCTGTGCGTTCTCTGTCCGAATCTACTTTTATGGCAATGTAAAGCCGATTTCTGTTCTTTACACCCAAGTAGGCCTCTTAAAATTGCTCTTTACTTCTGCCAGAGACGACGCCCCTCCTGGACTTCACGCCCCAAGACTGGTCAGGAAAAGACCTTTTTGCTTCGAGGGGCGAGCTTGGCGCGGTATGATGAACTTAGTTTTAAGGCGGTGCCCGAACTGGACACACAATGGGCCGAACATGACTCGACGCGAGTTTAACGCGCGACGGCTGACATCAAATGAGATGAACATCGTTGACGTGCGCCGGGGTTTGCGCAGAAAATGCGATGTTGGTAGGATTGGAAGCTAAGCAGTATCAGTAGAGCAAGTGGGCTGCTTACTGGGCCGCATATATCGTCAGTTAATTAGTTCAATCACTGCTCCTTAAATACAAGTGTGTCCACCCAATGCACTGGGCCGTCAGTCCTCAACCCTGGCTCTGCCCCGCGCCCCACACAGCCCGCTGTGAGCAAAAAACGGTCAACTTAAATTGGCTTAAAAAAAATTTGAAGAAACATAAACAGCAAGGATATTGCAACCCTTGGAGTGGGGCAGTCAGCATGGCAAGGTGTCACAAGAACACATTAAGCACTAGCGTCGCGAGTTTACGTTGACAATGATTGAAATGGAATTTGGTGGTGGCCTCCAAGAAAAACGACAGGGTTTACAACATAAACAACATAAACAACTGGATGGATGTGAGTCTGGAGTTCATTACAAATCACATCAAGCAACCTGAGCGTACATGAAAGGCTGCGCCATGCAAATACACATTTGCGAGCCCCTTGTACGTACACGGCATGAATTCGGGCCTCAGCTGCAGCTCCAGGTTGGTTGGCCTTGTCACACCCGCTTGCAGCTCAGTATTGGTAGTCTGCAGCGTGAATCGACGTCTTAAGTCTTGAGCTCGCTCTTCCACGTTTCCCCCGCTGGGTAGAGTTCTGCCATTTGGTTCCAATGGCTGGCAGTCCTGTGGGAAGCACGCGCCCTGATAAACTCATTTCGCCAAAATCTGCACAGCGCACCGCAACTCAATGCGCAACTTGAGGCAAGGGCAGATTGGCCCGCTTGATACAGCACACCCGGATACGCAACTAGATTCCATGAGTAGTCGCAGGTAAAGCAAGGCAAAAGCCGCATTGATAGATATTGAACACACAATGAACGTTTTTTCCTGACTTGGAGAGACCAACTGGATCCTCTCTTCATGGCTCTCCTGGCACAGCAGCGTCTGTGTTCATGGTGTTTACAAGCAAAACAACAATTCGATCTACAACCCATCGCTATGTAAAAACCAACGAACGATGGCCTGGATACTTTCTGCATCACTTTGGCCCCACACGTCAAACCTTGGCCGCGCTAGGATTGCATTGTGAATCGCGCAAACTGGAACCCAAATGACTACTGGTGGTCAATGTGGCATTGAATAAAACTCCATGGGTATGCAACCTTGAAAAGTTCAAGAAGAACCAGAAACGCTCGAGGTTTGGCAGCGCCGGCCAAATCTTTTTTGAGGTATACAATAGGAACCTTCCAATCCAAGAATCCAAGACCGGCTGAATGGACAAACAGCTTTCCTCTATGAGCGCTGGGCTCCAATGGCTCACCGTCTTGGGCCAAAGTTGGCAAATACCTCCCGCTTGAACGGAGACCGGGATAATCCATTATATACACATATAATATTTCTGTTGTTTTTTATATACGATTTTACGAGTGCAATCATGCCACGCAGTACACTGCCTCAACGCACTGGCCACGTGTGCTCATGTCCTTCAGTGACTTTAATCCATCGAGTTTCTCGTGCTTCTGATTCTTGGCTCGGAATGGGCAATGAAACCTTTGTCACATACCAATGGCGAGTTTTGATGGAACAGAACAACATACCAATTGTCACATATCGTCACCACTTATACTGTAGTTGTTTCTCGGCAGATGGTGAACCCATCAAGGGCCATTTTGCAAGCCAGTCGACTGGACGCCATTCTCAGAACGTGTATTTTCAGGCTCAGCCAATAAAATTAGGCCAAATCCGTTAAGCTAAGCGCTCCTTTTTCGCCTTTGAGCTGCCCACGCGGAAAAGCGCTAGCGTTAGGTGATGGATGTATTTCAACGCCCCCCTCTGCTTTCACAGGCGACGCGTGAATTAGCAGCGACTTTGAATGGGCGTAGCGTTGCTGCTAGCATGGCTCTCATTTGGAGGCCATAGCAACGCTTTGCACCATGCTGCGCTGCAGTCATGAACTTAGCCACCATAGGCCCACCAGCGGCCATCGCTTCCGCGTGCCCACCACTCACCATATAGGTAAGTGTACCTGCCCCAACGGTCAACGTTTGAAGGACCACGGGCAGCAGCGTGGGCTGTGCGCAAGGCTCCTTCACGGGCATCGCGCACTGCCTTCGCTTGTGGAGGCGCTTTGGGCGGAGCGTTGACTGAGCTCGAAGGTGCTGCAGGCGGAAACTTTGCTGTTGGCATCTGCCTTACATCGAACGTAGCGATGCGGGTCACATCCGCTGATGGTGAAGCCTCCAGGAATGGGGCTACCTGTTGGCGAGGTGCAGCTTTCGGCGGAGTAGTCGGCGCTGCAACCTTTTCCTCGGCCCTGATGCGTTCCGCTCTGCAGCCTGGGCGCTCTGAGCTTCCTTGTTCTCCGCCAACTTGAGTGCTGTGTGAAGAGAGTTGGTCATCGCGGTGTACAAGTCCCGGTGGCTGGTTGGCTCAACGATACCGGTGAAAAGGTCAACAGCTTGGTGACTTTACCTCTTTCGTGCCTCTTCTCGGAAAGGGTGATGAACTCCTCCATGCTGTAGAGTTCCCTGGCCCAGATGATCGCCTAATTTTCTTCAGTGAAGCGTTCAGCGAGGGCCCGACCTCCGAGGCCAGCGATGTTGGAGTCCACGTACATCAGCTTGGCAAACTGATTAATCTTAATGCCAATGCCGAAATCCACCTGAGTCTTGGTTCGAGGCGGCGTCGGAAGATGCCCGCGGGCAGCGATATCACGTGCGTAGATGTCTTGCATCGTGATTCCATGTTCCGACATTCTTTCAACGAACCCAACATCATGTTCATACCTGTCGGCAAGTGAGGTAAAGCCGAGCGCAGCGGCTCGCTTCAGCTGTCGGCGAGAAGTTTCAATGAAATCTCCTTCAGGGCTTCTCTGTCCTCGGGCAGGTTCCTCGCGGAACTGCATGCTTTGGCTGTGCAAACGCTCGATAACACTGGCGTTCAAGTCTAAGTGTTCATAGCCAAGCTGCTTCAGCAGTTCGCGGCGCTTCGACAAGAGGTTTTGCTTAATGTCGGCACTTCCGGCGATGTTCGCGTTGCACGCCGGGCAAATGATGGTGCCTGCAGCAAACTTGCATCCCGGACACATGGGGTCGCCCGTTGGAATGTTCTCGCGCTGAGCCTTGTGAGGCGGCGTTGGTCCAACCTCTTCAACTTCGTCCTCTGCGTCAGGCTCATCGTGTTCTGGTCGTTCACGCTTTGGTTGGCCAGCGGTCATCACAACGTCGGCACTTCCAGCAGCGCTCCCAGCCGGTGTGGCTGTGGGCATACCCTCGCGGGTAGTGACAGGAGGTGTTGGCGTTGTCCTGGTTGCGTTCGACCTCGACCATAGGATGATGTCCTTCTCGGTGTCGCAAATATGCACGATCTGCGTGCTGCTGATGTTCTATAGGGACTGCGTCATGAGGATGGCGCCACACTTCGTGGTAAAGCAGACAAGGCCGTCGGCAACTGCGTCGCGCAAAGCGATGACGATCTCAATGGGGTTGAGCCGTCTGTTGCCGGGCGCTATCTCTCCCTGCCTGATCTGCTGCCGTGCCAGATAAACGTGCGCGCGTCCGGACTGGCGTCGAGCTCCACCGCCTACGACAAGGCCATCTTTCTGTATGCCTTGAATGCCTTCAGTGATAAGCATTTAAAGGCACCTCATTCAATGCACCGATGACTGGCGCGCCAGTTCCGCGAAAGTTGGATAGATCATGGCCTTGTGATCCTCCGGGCGGACATCAACCGCATCAGTGCCGCGTCAGCATTGAAAAAGAGATCTGCTTCGTCTCGAATGAACGAGTTCGAAAAGCCTGCTGCAGCTCGAATTTTGAATGGCCATGTTCACCGTTCCACGCTGGACTCCGGCGGCTACGAGGAGCTCAAATCGGTTTATATTTTCCAATTTGGCCGGCCATGTAGCAGGTCTAGCACCTTCATCTTGGCTCGGGCAACTCCGCGAAGGGTGCGCTCGCAAATTGATTGAGGTCAAGGAACCTGTCATCGTTGTGTTCTGTGTCCCGATCATTCGTTGTGATTGCGCCGCGAAGGACGCCCGAAGCACGGGTAAGGCAATTCTTCAGCCAATGAGGCATCCTGTACCATTTGGGTGGAGGCGACAGATCTCATCCGCTCACAATGATATGATCTCATATGGGGCCTTTCTTGCGTCGAACTGACGTGCTTGCCACAGGCTTCCTTCATCTGATTTATTGCAACTCTACACTGACACCCTGAGGTTTGGATAGTGGACTGCGTGGTCTCTCGATGTCTTTGCTCTGCTTCATTTCGCACGGCATCTGCGTTGCCCGATGCTGTGCGCCGGCGCTGTACATTGTTTTGGATGAACTGGAAGTATGCTGTCACACCTTCAGATCCCATCGCAACATCCTCGGGCACGAGGTTTTGCCCCCGGTGGTCGGTACGACATCGCCAGAGCTGGGGGTCATCGCAAGTGCAGCGGACGCACTTCCGTCAGTAGCCATAGCAGAGGCTACGGCTGATAACCGGTATTTTCAGGCTCAGCCAATAAAACCAGGCATCCGTTAAGCTAGCAACTGCTAAGCTCCCTTTTCGCCTTTGAGCTGCAATGCTGCAAATCGGCCCCGCACGTAAAAGCGCTAGCGTTAGGTTAGGCGATGTATTTCAACAGAACATACTTCTCGACCGTGCCAACCTCCCAACGCAGTACGCTGCGCGGGTTAATGCCACGCGATCAAACGTTCTGTGCTGCCAGGCCCGGCCCTGGCACCTCAAAAAAACACAATGCGTCACATTACCATACACGTCCAAACTTTCCACTTTGGTAGCTTCGACAGCCCAAAGCGGACTTGTCACAAAGTGCTCGATAGAGAGCGGCCTGGCAGTTGGCATTTGCTTGGCCCAACAAACATACCAGCAAACTGCACGCGGCAATCTCAAGCCTCGCTCTCTTTGTACTTTGCGAATATGCCTGGAACAATGCTCGGTGCTTCGTCTTGCAGGTCAATTCTCCCGAAATACGCCATACGGAATGCTTGCTCCAGTACAGTGGGGCCAGCGTTTGACAAGACCACAACCATCGAAGCGTCACCTATATTGTATGAGTCGAAATATTGTTGGGGTGTTTGTTGCTTCCGCGTCTTCGCCGGTTTGCCCAGGTAATTGGCGGAATAAGGCCAGTTCTCATCAACAGTGACAAAAACATGTCATATATTAGGGGAAAGGCTAATTAGTGCAACTGTGGCCACGCGTCGACCTAGGCTCTCGCTCAGACTATTTGCTCAGTTTGTCTGGGACAAGCGCTTTCCTTTGCTTCAACCAGCTCGCTGGTCAAGTTCACAGCTGCACTTCGGCTACAACTACGGTTCCGAGTTTTGTGGAGCGCCATGTGCAGGGTTCATGTTGACCCCTTTGCAACAAAGACCCTGAGAGCAAATGAGCGACCGGCAACATTAGGGGGCCGCTGGGTCGAAGTTTTAAGGCAAGTATCTTTTATGGGACCGCTCCTTTGCTCATTTTTTCGGGGGGTATCGTCTACATGTCAAGCGCAAGTAAGTAGTAGTCGTCGTCGTAATAATCGTGGTAGTAGTAGTAGTAGTGGTAGTAGTAGTAGTAGTGGTAGTAGTAGTAGTAGTAGTAGCAGTAATATGGAAGCAGTCGCAGTCGCAGTTGTGGAAGTAGTGGTAGTAGTAGTGGTAGTAGCAGTAGTAGTAGAAGTAGTAGTAGTAGTGGTGGTGGTATAGTAGTAGTAGTAGTAGT